TTTTTAAATGGGTCGCCCAAGAGATGGGGGGAGAGAGAGAGAGAGGGAGAGAGAGCAGGATGGTGTGTCCGAAAGCAAGCAAGAGAGAGAAGCGAAAGGCAACGGGTTCAGCTCCAGCACCTGGCCCCTGGGCATGCACAGAGGGCGGAGGAGAAATGTGGCCAGGGAACGAAGATGGACGAGGTGAGGCGAGAAGGCGACCGCGACGTGGCGGAGGAGGGGGCAGTACAGTAGTGGCTTCGATCTTCTGCCGGAGCGGGGAGGAGACGGAGCTCCAAGCAGGCGGAGGGGCGGGTGGCGATTGGAGCAGGGATCAGCTCCAGCGCAGGGAGGCGGTGCAGAGCGCCTCTGAGTGTGTGCAGAGAGCAGGGAAGGGCGATCCGGGATGCCGGGGAGGGACCGCTGCCCATGGATATGAGCAGTATGAGAAGGAAGAGCATCTCAAAACATACGCAGAGTACAGAGAAAGCGGGCGGAAGAGAAATGTTTCCAACGGGATTCGATACATGCTTGGCGAACAGTATCGATTTGTCAGTAGCTTTTGCCTGGAGCAAGAAAACGGAACTTCCTTGTTCAGAGGCAGTCTATCTGTAAACAATAAACGCCAAGGACAAATGAAGGAGTTTGATTCTTCTGGGCTCCGCATTGTTGGAAATAAAATAGTGGGCTAAATGTATGTTTTGTTCAAGCCGGAGTTAATTAAGCTGAGAAATCTTAAGGGCCATTTACATTCGATGCCTTCTTGACGGTTGTTAGAAACAACCAAGCTGAGCTAAAAGGAAACATCACTTGGTTTGAACGAATAAAGTGATTTTTTTAAAAAGCATTATTCTTATGTGGATCAATATTTTGTCATTCAGTGCAAGATCCAATTACACAAATATGGAGGATAATCGATACTGGGTCTCCAGTGAGCATTAGTCATGACAAAAACAAAAAAAGACCCTCCTTATTTAGACGCAGTCTACCTCTGAACACCAGGCGTTTTACCACAAAGGGTGAGGGGTGGGGTTGAGACTTGTAAATGACTGAAACAGTCATGCATAAGAAACACATGTGTCTCCCTTGCACACAAAAATCTATTCTCACACCACTTTCTTCTTTTAATAAGCTATCAGTGTTGATATTTCCATCTCCCCACCAACCATTTTATCTAGAGATCAATTCACTTACGGTTGGTAATTGTATTTTCAATGTGTGGTACCCTTTGCTGTCATAAAAGCCCTTCATGGACCAGCAAGAGTTTTTCGGCACCAGGAGAAAATATTAAAATGCTAGTAGAAGCCTAGAGCTGGGTGAAATGCAGACTATTTGTTCTTTTATATCCATTCCTGGAGTTTCTGCAGCCATTTTTTTCAAGCATCTATCTTTTTCACTGCCCTGTTTTTTGAAATCTTATTCCTTCATTCCTGGCCTCCAGATTCCCCAAGGTTCCCTATCATTCCAGGCATTTTTTCAGCTTTCCAAAATCAACATGAGGTTTTAATTCCAGCCAAACTGATATTTTCCCCTTCCATTTCAGAACATTGGATTGCAGATATTCTGGCACCTTTGAGGAGTGTAGGGACTGTTCCATGATGTCACAGCAGCTGAGCCAATTAATGTCAGGGCTGTCAGTATAAGAAGAATATCCTATATATTTCTATATAGATCCCCAACCTTAACAGAGCATGTTAAATATGGACTGCTGGATTTACTACAGGTAGTCCTTGATTTATGGCCATTCGTTTAGTGACCTTTGAAATTATGATGGTATTGAAAAAAGTGACTTACAACCAGTCCTCGCACTTACACCATTGCAGCATCCCCACGGTCACGTGATCATGATTCAGGCATTTGGCAACCGTCGCGCATTTACAATGGTTGCAGCATCATGTGGTCATGTGATCACCATTTGCAATCTTCCCAGCCAGCTTCCGACAAGTAAAGTCAATGGGGAAGCTGGCAGGGAAGGTTGCAAATTGTTGTCATGTGATGTCTTGCTTAATGACCGCACTGTTTAATGACAAATTTTCTGGGCCCTATTGTGGTCATAAGTCAAGGACTCCCTGTAAATGCTATTTGCATGCCTCACACTATTCCAGCATTCAAAGCTGGGAATTAATAACTGGTACTAAATTCTGTAGCCTATAAATAATAGTATAATAATATGTTGTTATCAATCAAAGGCCCGTTTTCTTGGCAACATTTTCAGAAGTGGTTTGCCAATACTTTCTTCAGGATAGTTCTGTTTTTTGACTTCCCTGCCTAGGTCTGAGAGAGAGTGGATGGTCCAAGGCCACCTAGCTGGCATTTGTGTCTAAGGAAAGACTAGAACCTGGGTCTCCCTGCAACTAGTCCAGTACCTTTAACTGTAGAATGCCCCAAAAGTTGTTTTTTTAGTAATCAAAGAAATAGGTCGGTAGTTTTATCCTTATTCTGCAGATAGGACTGGATCTGAGGCTTGGCTGTTAAAAAACCCCCTAAGATTTAAAATAGCTGTGTGCACCCCACATGTTTAACCTGATGGCTGAAGTAACCTATTTTCTGCATTTCCTGACCTGGTTAAGGCTGTTGTGTGAACACAGACACAGTCTTTTTGAAGAGGTGGGTACTGAGCACAATTGCCCCAGGTCCCACACAAGAAGGGCTTCCCACCCAGCATACTGTATGCTTCAATATTTGAAATGATCAGAGAAATTATTATTTTTCATTTGGATTAGTACAACAAATCAATTAGAAGACACTCCATAGGATTTTCATTGGAAATATTTTGCATTTCCCAACATACTCCTATTTTATTGGGCCTCAGCCCAATAAAAAATGAATAGCAAAAAAAGGGGAGAATCATCCTCCCCACAGCCAGAATACTGCCAAATTCTGCTGAAAAGTCCCCTTCCCATTGTACTCAACAACCGTCTTTGCAGAGGTTGCCGAAGCGTGGGTTTTGCGTGCTGTAGAATCATGGAGCTATTTCTGACGATAATGATGTCTTTATTCATCCAATGTCTAATGTACAATACCTGGAACGTGATTTGTGTTGCTGAGTGTGAGAAACAGGAACCTTGGGTAGCCTGGCTCAACTTAGCTTTATTGGTAATGAAAAACCCAGGAAGAGGGTGAATTGCATGAGAAAAACATTTAAGGAGAGACCTCTTCTAAATTTAAATTCCTTCTGATTTCTTCTTGACTCCTTGGTTTTCTATATCAGAGATCCCAATACACTGCTTTTACAAACACACTGTTTTTTTTTAAACAACATATTTCCTGTGGATAAATATGGATCTGTATGCATAACTTACCTAGAATTGCTTTTTTAAAAAACAAAAACAGATTTTTATTCCACTCACTTTCCGACAGACTCAGGGGAATACCTTTGGCTATGGTTTATCTTCACAGCAACCCTTAGCAGAAACTCCCAGTGCTGTCATTCATTTCTACAAGGCTGAGGCAAAAGAAACATCTCTTTAATCCATGCCCTGTGTTCAATGACTGCAGTGAGAATAGAAGCAGTTTGCAAGAATAGAAGCAGTTTACATTTTTAAAAAGTATTTGTCTTATGGCCTGTAGTGGTGTCCAAGATATTTTGCTGGCTTGCTGGGGCAAACAACAGGACTTGCTACTCCTGCTAGTATTATATTTACCAAGGCATGATGCAGATAAGAAAAAAACCCAAAGACTATCCAAGAAAATTAGTTTACACATTAACAGCCAAACCAATAAGCACATTACAAACTAGGCACAGTCACTACCATACATATTTAAAGCAAAGCCTTGCAATTCGGCCAAGCATGTATTGATTGATGATTGATCATGTGCCATCAAGTTGGTGTCTACTCTAAGTGACCATATAGATTTTCTCTGTGAAAATCAGTCCCTAACCTGGTCCTAAGCATGTATAGATCCATAATTAAAATAAAAGAGCTATTAATTTAGGAACTGCCCAAATTCCCCAAATGGGAGCATGCTGGCTGGGGAATTCTGGCAGTTGAAGTCCACATATCTTAAAAGTTGCCAAGGTTGAGAAACACTGCCCTACACTAACCTGCTCATTCAATAAAAAAGTATTTAGACCTCTGTTAAAGACCATAACACGTTCACAACAGAGAATGGAAAAGGGAAGTGATTCCTGAAAACCCAGGGCTTGGAGACTTTGATCCTGGAATAGGGAATAAAAAGAAGATCCTGCTCAGAGAAACATAAGGAATGGACAGGATTGCAGGGTGAAATAAAAGCGGATAGATTCAGGGGTGACGGTTGACTGGAAGGCTCTAAACAGAAGCACTGGTAATTTAAACTGGGATCTGGTTTGAAAAGAAAGCCAGTGTCATGATATGGGGATGGTGTGGAAGGTCCTGAAATGCCCCAAATGGCATTTTTGGACAACTGGTTTCTGCACTCACTGATTGTCCTTTACTCTAGGAGGTTGCCCAAGGCAGGTGACTTCACCTTCTTTTATGGGGGGGGGGCTGCCCCCATAGACCACCAACATTTTCAGAATGTGCTTCCCTGGAACTGAATGACAACAAATGTTCCTCAAGGAGTAACTGGAGTTACTGGGAACTAAAATGTCTTCATATCAAGGGTGTGTTTTACCTCCATGACCCTTCAGCTGAAGATCAGGTGAGCTTCCAGACTTTATGGTTCTACAGAATGGGTCAATTTAAATAGAAAGGAAACTACTTTTGAAAGGGTCAGAGTATTTGTCCAATTCGTTCAAAACTCTCTGTTTCTGTAGCAGCAGTGGACCAACTTTTGAAAGATGGAGACTGTAGTTGACTTAGTTTTTGTGAGGCCAAGTGTATGGATGAAACCATGATTTTCTTGGGTTTTTGAGTGCAGCTTCTCTAATACTCCTTTTTTTTAAGTAAGTCTATTTTGGGGCTTTCCCCATTCATTTTGAACTTTATCGTCCTCAAAATAGATTTTGGACAGGTGTGTCTGGAGGGAGTTCCAGAAGCCACAGGAAAGCCTTGAGGTCCTATGTAGGCTTCAGGTGCCAAAAATGGAGAATCAGGGGCTTTCCCAATGTTGTTGAACTAGAGCTCTCAGCAACCCCTGCTAGCATGGCTAACTGTGAGGATTGCTGGATGTTGTAGTACTGCAACATCAGGAAGGCCACCAGTACCCCCCTCTCCGAGAAGCAGGAAGAAAGACTTCCTATCTCACCTCCTCCATGATCTGTCTTTTTCACTGTCAGTGCCAGTGATTGAATCGAGGAATTTGCATGGAAAGCAGACGCACTGTTGCACATTAGTTAATTCTCAAAATAAATGGTGGGATGCCTGACACAGTCTAGAGGTTAACCGCTGCATTCACGTACACTTCTCTGTTCCACCTGCCTCTCTGTCTCAACCCATCAGGTTTACAACAGGAGTGCCTGGGGCTACCCGCTGCTGATACAAAAGCCAAACGTCTCAATCGTGTCCTGCCTAGATAATGTATCTGTGCACACAGCCAGCTGAGTCGGGGGGTTTCATGCAGCAAAAGGTGACTCTCCATCCTGGCTCCACTACCAATTCCTGAAATCTCTGTTTCAACAGCTTTAATCCCTGTGAGTTAAAAATCCCTGTGAGTGTATCTATTAGAGGGAGGAAGGAAGGAAGGAAGGAAGGAAGGAAGGAAGGAAGGAAGGAAGGAAGGAAGGCAACTGAGCAAGAAGCAGAAGATGTGAAATCTAGACCAATTCATGCTACCTTTTTAGTAACCAGCAGAAGGCATTCTGTTATTATCACCCTCCACTGTTTTTTTTCCCAGTCGTGCTTCGATGTATGTGTGACCAGAATTCAAAATCTAAGCACTGAGTTCCTTCCTTCCTTCCTTCCTTCCTTCCTTCCTTCCTTCCTTCCTTCCTTCCTTC